TTTAAATTAAAAAAAAAAAAAAAAAAAATCACAGAAAAGGGGGGGGGGGGGGAGTTGCTCCAAAATACACACATAAAAAACCGAAGGGGGAAAACTTTTACGTTTCATTAAATCATTAGAAAAAGAAGACAATTCGTTGTATAGTTTTTTACTCATAATCCTCGTCTTAATTCATCCCCCTCTCCCGCGCAAAGCTAGGAAGCTTTTACGTTTCATTAAATCATTAGAGAAAGAAGACGATTCGTTGTAACGTTCTCAAAAATAATCCTCGTCTGAATACAGGTTTTACGTTTCATTAAATCATTAGCGAAATAAAACGATTTGTTGTACCGTTCTCGACTCTTAATCCTTGTCTAAATTCAGTTTTTCCCCCGCCTCGACGTTTCATTAAATTTTTAGAAAATGAAGACGATTCGTTGTTCCGCTCTCGAAAATAATTTAGTTTCCCCCACCCGCGCAAAGCGCGGAAGCTTTTACTTTTCATTAAATCATTAGAGAAAGAGGAAGATTCGTCGTACCGTTCTCGACTCTTAATCCTTGTCTAAATTCCTTTTCCCCCACCCTCGCAAAGCGCGGAAGCTTTTACTTTTCATTAAATCATTAGAGAAAGAGGACGATTCGTCGTACCGTTCTCGACTCTTAATCCTAGTCAAAATCAATCCCCCCCCCCTTCCGCGCGAAGCGCGGAAGCTTCGACGTTTCATTAAATTATTATAGAAAGAAGACGATTCGTTGTACCGTTCTCGACTCTTAATACTTGTCTGAATTTCAAATATGTTCTTTGTCTATTCCCTTTTCTTCCTACGTCCTCTTCCTTTACACTCCTCTCTTTTTTGGCCGGCGTTTATTGGGGGACCACCCCACCGCCTGCTGTCAGATGAACATATATTGATACCTTGTCCGCCCCGGAAGCTCAGGGGTTTAAGGTTTTAATTTACGGTCAGATTAGCATTCAGGGGTCCGCCTTAGCGCCCTAGACGGGGTCCCGGGGGCAGAGCCCCGGAAGTTCAGGAGTTTAGGCACTTAATTACGGTCAGATGAGCATTATTTTGATAACTTATTGTTACAATGGCAGGTCACTAATTGGCTAGGGGTTCAGGGGGCGGAGCCCCGGAATCTCAAGGGTTTTAGGCACTCAATTACGGTCAGATGAGTATCGAGGGGCCCGTCTAAGGGCTCTTGGTTGGGTCCAGGGGGCAGAGCCCCCACAAGCTCAGGGGTTTCAGGCGTTTAATTACGGTCAGATGAGCATTTTTGATACCTTATTATTTGTGACACTAGCAGGACACTATTTGGCGTGGGGTCCAGGGGGCAGAGCCCCCAGAAATCAGAGGTTTTAGGCATTAAATGACCGTCATATGAGCATCTAAGGGCCCGCCTTTGGGCCCCAAGTGGAATCCAGGCGGCATTTTAGGCATTAATTTTAATCATGGTCAGATGAGCATATTTTGATACCCCATTATAATGTGACACTGGCAGTTAACTATTTTTTCTTTCTCGCTCTCTTTCTTTCTATTTCTCTTTAATATACTTTTTCAAAGAAAGTGTGGGGGGAGGGGCTCGAGGATCCCGATCCCCGCCGTTCCGCGGGCCCTGATATGTAGGCATCTCAAGAAGCATTTTCTTGCCTGGCTGTAAATTTAGGAATTTGTCATTTTCCAACAAACGCATGAAGTGAGGAAAATTATCTCATTTCAGCATTATTTGTTAACCACCGTTATGGAATTATAAATAAACCACGTTTAAATTCTATTTCTCCAACCCCCCCCTCCCCTATCAGTATGCCAGTGGCCCCCCCCCCCTCCGATCTACACCTTGTTGGCTGGAAAAATTGCAACTGATATCCCTTACCTTTCTTCATTCTCTTTTTTTCCTTTCCCTTTCTCTCCTCTTTCACTTTCCCTTCCCTTCCTATTTAGGTTTGCTGGGGGGGGGGGGGGGTAGGGTAGGGGTATGGTCATTTTGGTCCCCAACCCGCTCCACACATTGTTGGCGGGATTAACCGCAACTAATCTCCGCTTCTTTTCTCCCTTTTCTTTTTTTCTTCCTCTTTTTGTTCCCTTTTAGCTCTCCTCTTTTCCTTTTCCTTCCTTCTCTTTTTTTTTTAGCGGGGACGGGGGGGGGGGGGGGGGGGGCTAGGGTCTTTTGCCCCCCCCCCTCGATCCACAACTTGTTGGCGGGAAAATTGCAACTGATATCCCCTTCTTTTCTTTTCTTCTTCCTATTTTGTCCTTCCCTTTATCTCCTCTTTATCTTTTTTCTTTACCTTTCCTTCCTTCTCTTTTATTTTTTTATTGGGGGGGGGGGGGAGGGGGAGGCAAGTCCTCCCCCCCCCGATCTCCTTCTTCCCTCTTTTCTTTTCTTCTTCCTCTTTTTTCCCCTTTCTCTCCTCTTTCCCTTCTTTTCCTTCTCTCTCTCTCTTCTTTTTTTTTTTTTTTTTTGCGGGGGGGGGGGGGGGCCAAGGCACGCTCGGCCCCCCCCCCTGGATCCGCGCCTGCATGAGGGTACATTTGCATTTTCAAAAATAGAATTGAAAGATTTGGTATAGGCCTACACTACATTTTCAGGAAAAAAACTGTACGTTTTCAAAATATCTGTGGTCAACTGCCCCCCCCCCCCTGGTGCGTACGGCCATGGTCTTTTTTTTTAAATTTCCCCATTTTTATTCCTTTCCTTTTCTTTTCCCTTTTTCTTCCTTTTCTCTTCTTCTTCCTTTTTTCTTTCCTTTTTTTCCTTTTTTCTCTTTCTTTCCTTTTTTCTTTCCTTTTCCTTTTTTCTTTTTCTTTCCTTTCCTTTCTTTTCTTTTCTTTCCCCTTTTTCTTTTTTTTCCCTGGAGCCCGTCAGGGGGGCACTCTGCCCCCCCCTGCCCCCCATAGGTACGCCAGTGCAACAATCTCATCACTCAGATTACCCTAATGCTTGATTGTACATAATGCAACTAAGATATAAATGTTAAAATGATACGTGGGGAAGTTGGTGTAACGTACGGCGCATGCAGGGAAACGGTAAAATAAATAAAGCTGATTCTACATCTGACCAAGTCGTCCCCACTTACCAAACCAAACTCGACAACTAAGCCATTGGTATGATAAGCACGTCCTATTCTTCGTCCAACACCAAACACGGTCTGTGTTTCCAAAAGCTTGACAAGGTGTCACTAAACATGTCAAAAATTATGTTTGAAGTACAAATACCCAAAGTTTACACCATGTTTAGTTTGCTCGCTCCGCAGTATCTGTTCTTGTCTCAAGATATGGGACAAAATCTAATTTGGGGTTCTAATTTCTTCTACGACCTCTACCTTAATTCATATCCTCTACTTACTTCGAGTGGTATTATATTCTGCTCTCTGATACGATCATAGGTTGGATGTGAGTGAGGTTTTACGTGATAGCAGTTTAAGGTGACCTGATTGAAAGCACGAACAAAAATCACACTCAAGATAATCGAGTAAACGAAACGATAGAGGATAGAGAGGGTCGAGATACAAGGGAAGGGACAGAAGGAGGGAAGAAAGAGAAAGAAAGAGAGAGAGAGAGAGAGAGATATGGAGAGAGATAGAGAGAGATAGAGAGAAGAAGAGAGATAGAGAAAGAGAGGAGAGGAGGAGACGGAGGAGTAAAACGACCAAACTAAACTCGGGCATATTTTTAAAGCCCGGCGCACACTATACGATCTGGTTACGATCCGAATTTGGAAGAATTTGTGACAGCATTTGATATAAACATTCATACGTGTACAATCTTAACGAGCGAGGATCTAAATAGTTATTACGATTAATAAAATCTAAGTTTCAAGAGATTTGACGCTTCTTGAAAAGAAAGTAAACAACATATCACAGTTTCATTTCAAAAGGAGCTAAATCCGTTTCATTCCAAAAGGAGCTAAATCCATGTTTCATTCCAAAAGGAGCTAAATCCACAAAATCTAAAAAAAATTGTTAAAATCACAAGTAACTGGTAGATTGTTTTTCTTATCATATATTATTGGTCAAGGGCGACACCTTTAAGATATATAACAGCATGACGGTACATGGCTAAAGGGAAAGTGGAGAAATAAAAAAGGTGATTTACTCAGAAGTACCCAAAGTGGATTTAGCTCCTTTTGGAATGAAACCGATTTGGATTTAGCTCCTTTTGGAATGAAACATGATATTGTACCTAAATGTTTTCATACTTCCTGGTGAAATTTTTGAATGTGATATAGTGCATTTTGTCCCCATGTAGGAAATCATTATTTTAAGACAAATAACCCAATTTTAATAACAAAATATGGATTTAGCTCCTTTTGGAATCAAGCTCTTCATATAGTCTTTGACAATGTCAGTACTTTGGCCAGTGATTTAATTGACCAATTTAATATCTTTTTTGGAAATTTAGACCCACAACTCCACAGGGCAACTGGCGTGTCCGAATATGGTCTACTGGCGGCTATCCATCTACGGGGTGTCACAGTACATCTGACATCTCATATTCATCCCAATGAAGGTTTTTTTTCCACGGAATAAACCTTCAAAATGTCAATAGTAAATGCATTCACCACATTCATTTCAAAAAATGTTATTAACAAATAAAAACGGATGAAGCGAAACGAATTTAAACAAACTTCAAATTTAATACTCAATATTAATAGCAACCTTAAAACAAAAATCGGGCGTTGAGATAATTGTCCTACATCTGAAAGCGCCATATTGTATACACAGAGAAAAAGAGGTTTAAATTTATAGGGAGTAAGATGCTTGTCGCATAAGCGACACCCCTCAGGGAGTAAATTTACTCCCCAATGTAGGGAGTAAATTTACACCTTACAAGAAGGTGTACATGTGCACCCCAAGGTTATGATTTCTTATGCACAGCATCAACCAATTGATCATCCCTCGCGCAATCAATCATCCCTGCTTCTATTCACCTAATAGTCACTGATTATCACCCTTTTGTCTATCTTTCATTGCTCTCACCTGTTTTACGAGTTACATGTCGAAAAGCTTTATTGCTTAATACCTAAACAACAGCTAGTGTGAACTCAAGACAAGTGCAGGCTGGCCTGGATGGATCAAATGTAGTGGAAATACCTAAATACACAATCCTGCCTTCTCGAACACGTATAAGAAGGCAAATATGTACTAGTTAGTTATCAAATATAACCTTCGGTACAAAAGGGGTACAACCCCTTATTCTTGATCAGATAACTTTCACACAAATAATATGCCCAAATGAAACATGATAATTCCCCAACATGACTAAAATATGTCAATTATGCTAATTTCCCTTTATTTGGCAGTACCTATTTCAACACGGTGAGCCATTGCTGTAGCGCATATGCACTCACAAATAGGGTGTAAAATTACACCCTTAAATGACTTTTCTGTACACCCTTGCGTATTTCCGTGTTTTACTCCCTAAAAGTTGTAATAGGGGGCGCCCTATTTTTCCAATTTCGTTTTACTCCCCAAAACACATTTTATTTCTCTGTGTGTACGTCACGAACAATCATCATTTACTATCCTACCCCTTGTTCTTTTCAGATTTTTTTCTCAAAAACTCTCTGATTTCAATGACGTTGTTAACTGAATAAAATGGATTGTATTATATTTCATTTATTTCTACGACCGTGACGTCATGCCAACAAAGACCGTCATGCAAAGAGATCGATTTAAGATTCTGTGTGTAAATTATTAGCGAATGTTACCTGCGTGTAATTCCTCAATCTATCTTGGTCCGAAAGTATTTTGGCGAAGTGTCAATTGCTTCAACGATGAAAAATTCTTATCGAGAGAAGCCTTTTTTTTTTGGATGGAGAAACACACAAAAACTCAAACAACGCTGTACGAAACTTTTTGTTTCTAACCGAATAGATAATTGGATTTGAACAAGAATATACGAAAGCTAAGCAGACGAATATCCGGTAAAGGTCCGAGTACAAGAAGGTTCGATAAAGGTCGAGGTTGAAAAGAAAGAAACAAATTTGATCCGGCGACCAGCAGACAATATAAGTTACGACGACAATTAGCCCAGTTCGTGTCATTCTTTGCTTTGTCTGTAAGAGCTTCAGCGAGGGTGGGGGCACGTGTCCGTTGACCTGAAAACTCCGCGCCAGAGCATGAAGTTCCCGGATGATGGCAAAATGGCTGCCGGTCATGATGGAGACTGGAATCAGGTATTCAAACATGAAAAGCAGGACTCCCGCAGTCACGTGCACTCCGCGTGTCGGGAATTTAGTCACACAGGTATAGTGCATGCTGTCGTGGCTAGAAATAGTCAGAATGTAGAGATTCAAAATGGCGGATCCGAGCCAGGACAGTCCAACTAGGCGGACTGATCGTTTGACTGTGAATAGAAACCTGAATCGGAACGGATACTTGACAGCAACTAGCCGCTCTACGGATATTACGGTGAGTATGAACACTGAAGCAACCACGGATATCCACATTAAAATATTTGAATACTCGATCCGGCAGTAGAGCATGCCCTTCCAGTTTGGAGGCACCGTTATGAAACTGGGGCGTGGTATCATCCAGAACGACGTCAAGAAGTCGGCTACTGAAAGACTGCCGATAAGAACGTTGGCCGTGAACTGGACAGGGCGACGTCGGCGTACGATCACGGCGATGACGAGAAGGTTTCCGACCATACCGGTTATAGAAAGTACGAGTTGAACTATGACCCACCATGTCCACATAAATGGAGCCCATTCCCATTCACTCTCATCAGAAATGTTCGTACCATTCATTCTCCGTGATTTAAATTCTGCAAATACAAAAAGGTATAATTAAAAGGATCAAATTGTTGTACGCGATTTCACTATTAAAATAAAATGAGTTGACATGCACATGCGTCGAAAGGCAAGACGAAAAGAAGAAAAATAATTCAAGAGAAAATGAATAAACGAATATAATCCAAGAATGAGGAATCTCAGCAATTAGCCTATGTGGCGCCATTTTCCAGTTTTTAAAAGAAAGTGCACAGGCAGGCACATATTGAATTAAAATACACTGAGGGGTAAAATAAGAAGTAAAATACTTGTGGATCGTTAATAGGGAGCCACAATTTATACGTGTGAATGCCCTATCAGTTATCATTATATTATTATGAATATAACTATAGTCAGCCTTTCTTGACCAAATTATCATTCATCATTTGATACTTATAAGCATAATCAGTATTCCGGCAAGAAAAATAAATGTTCGCGATTTTGTTTTCGCGTTAAAACTGTGTACGTACCTTTAAAATTAGAGTATTCTTCGCTGGTTGTAGGCTCGATGAATAGTATAATACATTGTGATAGTTTTATTGCTAAATACATGTACGTAACTATATAAGAGGCAAGATGCTGGCGGAAGATGGATGTATCATTCTGGGAAGAGTATACATCTTTGACAATGTTCGAGTATATGCGCTGCATATATAGCAAAGTGTATGTAAACATTTTCTTATTGGTCGTTTTCTGATTCCCCAAATCTCTTTTCGTGTAATCAATACGTTCTGAACAAGTAACTAAAATAGGCGCCCCCTTTATCGAATTGTCGTGCTTTTAAAGTTGTTTGACAAGTCCGCAACAACAAAGGAATCTGGTTTATTTCGTATTTCACCTCCTCCCTCTCTCTCCCTTGACGTAACTCAAGATCTTCTTCTTCTTCTTTTCTCTCTTTTGAATCAACGCTAGATTATTCAGATTACCTCTGAATGGATTATTCCTGCAGACTCGAAACATCACATATCCTGTACATAGACATTTAGCTCTCTTTTGGGTTGCTCCATTTTTTCATAGGGGTAATTTTAAGATCGGGTTGTACCGTTGTAGCATTCACTTGTAAAAAGTAAACAAAATGCTGTAAATATGGAAACTTGTTGTTTCAGATGTTTCATGAAACTTCTGAACATTATCATGTTAAATTCATGTGTATTCACATTATTGTGGTAACAAATTAAATTGCATTGATAGCTCAAGAAACATTTATCTACAAATAATGTCAAGTGTCATTTTTATTTAAAGGAAATCAATTCTTTTGAAAGGTACAATTCAAATAAGGAAATGTGCTGCTTATTGTAGCAACACAACAAACAACTTTTATAGAGATAAATGATTCTGATGAGACATTCCATGAATAAGCATGTTTGAAGCATTTAAGTGCTCCTTAAAACTAAAGATACTGTAAATCAACATTGTGGGCAAAAATAATGAATATTCAGGAATTTTATGTAGGATTTGGTTTTTAAAATCAATCTTGTGCTACAACATGCACCCATACAAGAAGAGATATTTCTAAACCAAATTTCAAGCAAGTATAAATCAGAAAGTTTTAATCTTGTCCTTTGATGTACCAAGTGAAATAAGTAACAAGTATTCTTGTATTGTCGTCATATAGTCATGTTCCTCGATTTTTATTCAAAATAGTCTGTACAAGTAAAAGTGTTTTTGTTCGTTTACAGTTTATTGGTATGTATAGATTTATCCATTTTCTCTGTAAATATAATTCTGTGTTTCAAATTTGTGAAGAATTTTGCGTAGTTTTTTTGAGATCCTTTTTCATCTAGATATATTACATTTCTGTATCAAACAATGATACAAGTGTAGGAAAGGAAAATTACATTTGAATACACAGGGAATTGGTCGAGGTTCCCAAATGGAGAAAAGAAATATCACCTTCATGTAGGAGTTAAATTGAATATTTAGATGTTTGTGTTCTTCATGTCTTATGTTCAATGTAATTTCCAGTTTGATGCATGGGACATTATTTATTGTAAACCCATGTGTTTTCCCAGTGCTCTTGACAACAGTTATTACAAAATATAATGGACTTTTAATTTGAATTAAGCTTTCAAAAATACGAATGGATTTTTCAAAAATATAAATTGAGTTTTCAAAAATGTGAATAGCGTTTCCAAAAATATGAATGGAGCTCATATCGTAAACTTACTTAAAAAAATCTTTGGAGCTGTTGGTCAAAATTCACACTGATACATATATCGTTATCTATGTCCATGAGACAGCAATGGTGCTATGTCTGAGTAATTACGGGTGTCACTCCTTAACGAAAGTATGAAAGAAAAACAAATTTCATGATGCTGCCATAAATCTAATTTTCCTCAATCTCCACTGGTAGATATATCATTAGTTGGCTTATTAGTTGGTTGAATTTAGCCCGCACATCTCAATTTACCATTGAAATTCCATGATTTGTAAGTGGCTGTGGTGCTAATAGAGGCAGCACTATAATTGTTCACCCATTCAAGAAAGGACTTTTTACAACGTTAAGGCTACTTTTTCTTCTTGAAATTGGCAACACCGGTATATATTTTTCAGAATGGTATGAACAAACTGAGATTGAAAACCCTTTAAACATTTTGCCAATTCAAGGATGATAACTTGGACAATTGTCCAGCATATAGGCACAAAACCAGAGTGCCATTGACTTTTTAAATGAAACAGATGTTTTAGGCATTTAAAGGGAAATACTTTGTGATAAATGTGTCTCATCTTCACGTGTTATTCTACAAGTTTTGTGTCTGTACATAGAATATCATTCATTTTTGGAAGGCTTTTGCTGGTGTTCTATCAGAAATCTTGTATGGTTTGTGTCATCTAATGTTGGTAAGTTGTTATTAAATTGCAACATTTGTTTAATAAATGTCATGGCTGTGTCTTTTTTATTCCTTTGAATGCCAGTGTACATCATTGTTTAATTTTTCTTTTTGTATGAAAAATAAAATATGTTTAAGTGTACATTTAATGTTACTTTGGAGAATCCTGTAGTAAAAATCAAACGGTCATTAAAATGGGTCATAATTTTGAAAGACTTTTATATTCCCTCTTTAGGGTGAAATGCAGTGGCTGGAATCCCATAACAAATGTAATTTTAAATGAAATGCAAGTTGATGGGGACATTCTCTCCAGGTTCATCCTTCCTCTTCCTGATGTATTTTTTCTTCCTCTTCCTGATGTATTTTTTCTTCCAATATTTCCCTCATTCTTTAATTCTTCCTCTCTCTCTCCCATCACTCTCCCATCACTCTGGCATGAAAACAAAGTATTACACAAGCATGAGAGTGTTGGGTTACTCGTTAATTATTATAACATAGTTATATGCACAATATAGTGACAGTAAGAAGACCTAAAATTGTCTCGGGGACCATTCTAACTTGTAAATTGGCACTTTCTAACTAAATTCGCTTTCCAGTATGATTGCGATGTACATGTACATACATATTTCACAGTTAGTTAACATAACTATCATTTTTATACGATCAATACAAACATCTATTTGTATCTCCTGATATATATAATTATATATATATTTATCCACAAAAAGCTGAAGCTGATTATAATGATGAAAAATAGATTTCTATTTTCTCACAAAAATCAAGTAAAACATTTGCAATGCTATACATAATAATGGACACAAACATCAACTCCAAATATTTTTATATCTTAACAATTTTGTCTTCAGATGACACTTTATAATGAATCATAATATTGCATTTTGTAGTCGAGTGGCATTTAAATACGTGTACAACTGTATATAAGAATGACTTAAAGAGAAACGTCTACATACAATACAATACAGAGGGCATGCCAACCTTTATGATGGGGCTACTTTTGATGTGCGTTAAATAAATACAGATAAATAAATGGCCAACAGGAGTTGGTATGGATAAACTGACCAAACCCCAACCAATAAAACTTGTAGTTTATGTGTTATAAATCTGAGTAAAACAGCTATAAACAGAATGATAGAAAATGGACTCCACATCAACGTAGAATATACTATAATTTATAAATTTGACAATCTAATGTCATAATTATTCTATTCAGTCTTGTCTCAAAATCATTTTTTTCTTTCGCATTCTGTTCAGTTCGGTTCATATTAAAGCGATACTGAACTGATAGCGTTTATTGGACAGTGCCATCTTATGGTCAACTTGCCAACAGAGCGTAACTCGGCTGACCTGAGATGGCGCTAGAGGGAATTTTTCGGCAGTGTACAGTATGGCTTTAAAGTAACAATTAAATTGTACTACACTCTTATTTCCACGGCGTCAAATTTCACTCTAAATGGCGTCAGCTGGGAGTCAACTCTATTCCTAGTTTAAGTGACACGGATTCCGAATCAATTTGACTCGGATTGTGTGGCATCAGCTGAGAATTGACTCAATTCAGAGTCAAGATATGACTCCTTTTCCGTGTCACTTTAACTAGGAATAGAGTTGACTCCCAGCTGACGCCATTTAGAGTGAAATTTGACGCTGTGGAAATAAGAGTGTAGGTCTGATTCTTGTTTTTATTTGCTCTGCCTTTGAACTCGCCAATATACAATTTGCACAACTTGCCTAATCAAGGCAGTGAAGTCGTGGGGAAATATGTACGTATGCGCAGATGTAAAATTTGTAATCAATTTCAGGTATATATACATGTGTGTATGTCGTACTAATATACTGAAAAATAACATTGATTATTTGGTCGTTATTCACGCAGTGGCAGATCCAGGGGGGGTGGGGGAAGCGGGGCCCTCTCCCCTGGTACAAAAATACAATTAAAACACGTTAATTTTACATTTGTTGGGAGATGGGCCTCCCCTAGCGCTCAAAGGGGAGTGCAATTTTTCAAATTTTCGAGCCCCCCCCCAAAAAAAAAAATAGTACTCACTACACCTCCCCCCCCCCGGTGATGCGTCCCCCTACTGAGTCCATCACTAAAAGGATTTGTCGCCGTGGCTTTACATTGTTTAACGT